TGGCTCCAGCTCTCCAGTATAATCCAACCAACTCTCTAAAACTGTAAGAGAAGGTACATCTTTTTGGGACAGATCATTTGTGCCAAGATGTATAATAGCATCAACATCACAGTCCTTACTTGCATTCTTGACTATCTTAACTATCTTGACTATCTTAAGTTCTTCATTAGTCATCACACGATGTTTTTCAAATATTATAATAGGTTGGATGAAGCTATCAGTATGCAGGCTGATGCAAGTCCTCTAAAGTGGATCAGGTTAAATCTTATTAACACATAGCTGATTCCAGGTAGACTTCTATCATGTATACTATTCCGTTAAATTTAACTTAAGTTTTCCATACTGAAATAGCTCTCTAGTTTTTGTAACTAAAAGAGGCATGCTCATTCACTTATCCATCATATTTACATAGCCATCCATCTAATAATCAAGTGAATTAATATTGTTCATATAAAAAAACAGCCCAGAATAAAAAGAGATATACCAAAAAAGAGTTATTAATTACTCAGGAGCCATCCCACTATTTTGCCAGTCCTTAGGCTTGCTAACAAACAGACCTCCCAAAAGCTAAACCAGAGAAGGCCAGCCTTTGTATGGGGAAGAGAGGGTGTTCCATAAAGTGTGGGCTACAGCAGAAAAGCCACATTGTTTATGAGCTGCCAAATACAGTAAAATTGTTGATAGGTACTGAAGAAAGTTGCTTATATTTATTAGCAACTAAACTTCTCTGAAATACAGTGCTCTGCTTTATTTGTAAATTGAATTTGTAGTGCTTCAAAGAAAATGTAAGCCTTAAGTTTAATAGGAACTATTCACAGATTGCAGAACTGCTGAAATCATTGCAGATAGTCCTCAACTTTCACATAGTGACTGTTCAAAATTACAATAGCACTGAAAAAAATGCTGTTGTAATTTGACAATTTTTCATCATTGCAGCATCCCCATGGTCATGTGATCAAAATTCAGATGTTTGACAACTGACTTACATTTATGATGGATGCAGGATCCTGGGTAACATGATCACCCTTTGCGACCTTCTGACAAAGAAAGTCATTGGGGGTCAGATTCGCATGGATCCACTTAACTGGCATGGAAGGCCGTAAAATGGGGCAAAACTCACTTAACAACTGCCTCATTTAATAACAGAAATGTTGGGTTCAATTGTGGTGATAGGTAGGGGACTATCTGTAACTGATGCTTATGTGCTTTATCATCAGTCATAACATCAATTGGGTGCATGTGTGTCTGTGTGCACATGCCTTTGAGTCAAGAATGCATGTACTGCTCCATGCTGTTTCCTTAACAAAATTTTCAGAAGTGGTTTGCCATTGCCTTTTCCTAAGTCTGAAATAAAGTAATTGGCCCAAAGCCACCCGGATAGCTTCGTTCTTAAGTCAGACAGTCTCAGTTCCCTGATTTCAAGATTGCTATCTTAAAACACTAGTGTCTCACATACATCCCAAAGATATGTGGCAGTAATCTGACTTAGAATTTATAGTAGTTTTTGATAAATGTTTATATACATATATGTGTGTATTCTCCAACCATTTTTAAAAAGTATCTCTTGAAAATTACATGCAGTAAAGTAACAATCCTTTGATTCCATATGCTTTGCCCACAGCACTTTTCCTGTGATTTCTCAGTTGGTTTCTTTGATTGATTGATTGTCTGATTGACTGACTGATGATGGAACTTTTACTAAACAGGCTTGATGTATCTGAAAACATTCTAAATAAAGTTACAGTAAATTGATGTAGTTTCCAATATAGCTTGAAAACTATATGCTACTATATACTTGAAATGAAAAACAACAGTTAATAATGTTGAATCACATCTACTTTCAACTATATGCCATCATTTACCTAGCTATAGCTAGAAAATCAAAAAACAAAGCTTTAAGGGAGGAACTTCTTGCTTTCGCTATTCCACTGTAACTCCAATATGTGTTTTCTGGATGTCAGTTCAAATACCATCAAGTGACTGGAGTTCCATTTGCACCTCTTCAATCTCCTTCAGTTTCACCATTATGAATATAGTGGTATCATTTGCAAATCTCCCTAGTGGATGGCTCATCTCTAACTTTCAGATTTTTAGTAAAAATAATAAAGAGCACTCCTCATAGCCCATATTAAAAGGTAAAGGTTTCCCCTGCCAGTCATTTCTGACTTTAGAAGGGAGTGCTCATCTCCAATTCACAGCCAAAGAACCATTGTTGTCCAAAGATGCTTCCGTGGTCATATGGCCAGTATGACTATATGCCGAAGGTGCACTGAACACTTACTTTCCCACCAAAGTGGTCCCTCTTTATCTACTTGCATTCACATGCTTTCAAACTGCTAGGTTGGTAGGAGCTGGGGTAAGTAATGGAAGCTCATTCTGTCACGCAGTACGTAGGTCTCGAATGCCAACCTTCCAGTCAACAAGCCCCGCATCTTAACTGCTCAATCACTACACATATTAGTAGCATGCATAAAATTGGAAAAACATTTTAAACCTGGAGCAAACCGTGTTCTCAATGTTCTGTCAAACTTCTTTCTAATTCTAGGTTTTAAGCAAAATTCAGATGGGACAAATAGGGCAAGACTGGCACTTCCTCTTACCTGTCATTGGTTCATAACACAGCATAACAAAACAGTTTGCTTATCCCACTAGTTTTCCCAGTGACTTTCCTTGTTCTGTCAACACCCTCCACTCAGCCAACAAACATCTTTGCTCCCTCCTCTATTCCAGTACTACGCACAGACCAATCCTTCATTTAATCTGTGCTCACATTAAAACATTCCAAACATAAGTTTTGATCTAGGCTCAGATTATAACAGTTCACTGCTGTATGTCTGTAATTGGGGTGCTATTTTAAATTGCTTGATAGTTAATATATTTTATTAAAAAGTATCTGAAAAATTGATTCCTTTAAATGAAAGACACTATTCTACTGAAACTCTTTATAGCTAATACAAATCTACTTAAATTTAGCCATCAGTAACTTAGACCTTTGTGATTGTTGTGTACCTTCTCTTACAGTTTTAGAGAGTTGGTTGGATTATACTGGAGAGCTGGAGCCACCAGAACCATTAGCAAGACTTCCTCAACTGAAGCATTGTATAAAACAACTTCTCACAGACTTGGGCAAAGTACAACAAATAGCACTTTGCTGTTCAACATGATATGAAATTTCTGCTGGATGGCTGGAGCCTGTCGTATGATGAGCATTCTCTATTTTAATGAAATAGCATGCTTGTTGCATGTGATGCAGAACTGACTTCAGGGAATTATTTAGGGTCAAGGGTTACTCTTCATAAAAGTAAAGAGATTGCCCTTATTTTGTTCAGTTGGCCTTTGCTTGGCATTTTTTAACATTATGGAAAGGGATTTATTCTTGTCTTCAAAATGTAGGAGCAGGTTGGCAAAGGATTTTTTTCATTCCTTGTATCAAGTTGAGATAACCATTAATGTTCTTTTCATATATACACTGACAAAATTGTGCCACTGGAGAACAGTTTAAGAGCCAAAAAATAATTAGTGATCCAAGGCTGTAGGTAACATTCTGCCTAGTTTATTTAAGCGACTTAATGTGTCAGAAAGACTCATACTTTATCCTAATAGTTTATGCATAACTATGGTATTTAATCAATAGAACATATTTTCAAGCCTAGCAAGTATGAATGTCTAATTTTATAATAAACTGTTACAAGAGGTTTGCATATATGATCTGAAACTAATCTACTATTTTAAATAGATGTAGTAGAAGGTCCCAATTTGGTTGCACTTCTTTTCCTAGTAAATTATCATTTTCCATATTTATCATGACATTGTAGCATGATTCTCATGGTACTGGGACACCCATTTATGTTGAGCTTCTTTGCATTCTTGAATTTTTAAATCTGGCCATGCTGTGCCTCCCATGTACTGATGACATATCCTGAACGCAGGGTGTAAAAGTGTCTACACAAGGAAGGGTGTATTACAGATTGAGATCTGACCATGGCCAGTGATGGTCATGGTATTGTTTTCTCCCCTACTGTTAATAATTGCCATTCCGGTTATAGTTTGAAACATAATCTTTTTCAATATTATAAATGTTTTCATTGTAGATACTTGTAAAGTGTGGTTTTGGGAATCAGTTAATTTTATATTTGTGTATAACAAAGAGTCTCAAGGTCTATGCATGAGGTACTGTTCCCAAAAGCAATGGGACATTATGTTAAACGATGTTTTTGAAACCCCTTTTTGTACTTTTATTTTTAGTTTCCTTACTAGCATTATTTGTGAGATCAAAGTGAAGAAATGCTGCTTACATTGAAGCTACATTATATAGTAGCTTTTCGAACATTGGTGTATCGTAACTATTTTATATGTTTAAGAATATCATTTGCCTGCAGATCATATTTCCATCACTGCTTCCTTTTTGTTAGATAACATCTGGGACGAGAAATTACTTTGAGGTGGACAGAATAGGGTATTTTTGCATTGGGTGTTCTGAATGTTGGATTTTTCCTACCTTGATATTGGACTTGTTTTTGACACCACCAAAGTTTAAATTAAAGCACATTTGTGAGTTGAAGACCTGTTTAGTGTACAAATTGGTAATTATGAATAAAAATCCGTAATGTTTATATGCTGCAGAATTATGTAGGTTTCAGTTATCTAGTGTTCGTCATAGAAGTAACATTTTTCTGACCATCTTATCTCATTCAAAAACAGTCTACTTTTTTTGCATTCTGACAGAGACTTTATGCCAAGACTAATTTCAGGGAATAATTTGTCTCCAATTATTTGGCTCTTACAGGTTAAAAGTATAGCAGCTGTACACCAGATAAAAATTATTTTGCTGTAATAAATTGGAATAAAGTTTGTGATTGTTAAAAGACATCCAGTTGTCTCATAGTAACATTATGGGGAGTTTTCTAGATAACAAGGTATCCCTGAAAAAATATTTATCTTTTTGTTGTAGACAAGTAAGTGCATTTTGTTAAGGCTTGAATAACTTATATTTCTAGTTATATCCCTTCAATGTTGAAGATAATCCTAAAACTATAGAGCAGGGCTTAGACATATGTAACTTTCAAAGTGTTATAAATCGTAACTGATAGAACTTCTAATTATCATGACCAGTGCTTGGGGACACTGAATTATCATTTAACAACATCTGGAAGACCCGTGATTCCATATTCCTGAAGTCTGCTGTGTAGGAAACTAGGAGCCAGACAAGTTCAATACTATTTTTGTGGACTTTGGACTGGTTTCCTTATTATTCAGGCTATAATGTAGTTACAATATAAGAGAATATATGTAACTCAGGATTGAACTATGGATTTCTTGGTGCTCTCTGAACTTGGTTGTTTGCTTGTAGACATTTCATTACCCAATTAAGTAAGGTCAGTGCTAATCAGGTTACGAAACATTTGCAAGCAAACAACCAAGTTCAGACATCATCAATGACTCCACTATAATTTATTTTTAAAGTGTTATTTGTATTCCTCCTTTATTATTTTTACAAATAACTCAAGGTGGTGAACATGTGAAGTTTGTTTAGTTTTAACATAAAACCAATGTACTGTGTCTTCATTAAGCAAACCATGCAGTTTATGAGTGTGGCCAAATATGTTTTTGGGTGCCTTTTATGTGCCACATGTGGATTCTGTATAGAGAACACTTGCATTTCCATTCTACTTTTGGTAGCTCCATTCCTATCATTCTTCCTCTCAGATCAGAGAAAGCATCTTTCCTTGCTTTCCTTTGTTTCTTGAACTGTTGACAATAATGTCACAATGCTCCATTGCAGCCGTGTGAAACAGTTACTTGGTTTATTGTGAATATCTCAGTTTTTGCATTACTAATCAATTATGAATTACCACGTGCAAAACCAGTAGGAAAAATACATAAATATACTTCACATACACACAAACCAAAAGAACCACAATATTTCAATGAGCCAAGCTTCTTGAAAAAGCTGAAAAGTATAACTATGATAACACTGGTTTAAGGATAACCACTTTGAATCAACTTGATAAAAATACCACAAATTCAACAGATCTTGTGTTCAAGTTTCCTATTCCAGAAATACTTCCAATATTTGCTTTAGATATCTTTGGTTTGCCTTCTTTTTCTCTTTGGTGTGCCCTGTAATGACAGGTCATCGGTCATATACAGGTAAGTAGTAACTGCTTCTCGCAAGCCAAGACTGATGGGTGAGTCTTCTATTAGCGGTTCTTCTGACAACAAGTCTGAGCTAGATAGAAAAAAACATTTCTGAGCAACATTGTTAAAAGAAGAATAATGACTTTGTTTTTATTTTGTTTCAAGTAATGCATGATGCTCATAAGAACAGGCAAACAACTACCAGCATTTTCTGGAAAGTACACTGGAAAGTTTGCTTTTGCTAGTGGGATGAATTTTTTCCCTTGTAGCAACATAATTTCTTGCTCCAGTGGTTTATGTTTGTTACAGCTGAGGATTCTGGAGTTGAAAAGAAACAACTATTCTCATGGGTTGTTTTTAAAATGGTATAGAAGCAGTGTAGAACAGTGACCCCCAACCTTTTGGACATTGGGACCGGTTCCATGGAGAGAGGTTGATTATAGGTTGAATGTAAAAAATAAAATAACCTCTTGATCTGTTGCCAGTTGAGAGCAGATCTTTTTACTTCCACAGGTTTTGGAAGATTATGAAACAAGCTGGAACTAGCTCCTTGGATGAAGCATGGTTTCTTCAAACAGCAACATAAGCCATCACTACTTTCTATTAAAGAGAATAAACAAACACGACAGATTTTCATATATAGGGTTTTGTGACAACCTACTGTATTGCAGAGAAAAATATCCAGCTGCAAAAGTCACTTGCTTTTCCAGCTTTTGGATAATAATGCACTTTATTTTCTTGGTGAAAATACCCAAATTTAAAAATAATTCTTAAAGCATAATCACATAACAGTCCTAGACTTTTCACCACATTCTTACAAATCTTATTTATTTGTTTATTAAATTTCTATAGCTAGCCATCTC